CAAAAGGGGCAGCGCCAGGGGGTATGTAGGAAGCACCGAAGGAGAAAACTGGAGGGGGGATGGGGGACAATTCAAAAAGTTAATAGAAAAGGAGATGCAGGATAAGAGGGCGAAGGGGTTCTGCTTCAGATGTGATGAGAAGTACATGCCGGAACCTATGTGTAAGTACCAAACTCTTCAAGTTCTCCTTATCTATGAAGACGAGGAGGGACGTGGGAGCAGATCTGAAGAGGAGAAGAAGTTGCACATGGATGTGACAGAAGTCTCTCTGAACTGTGTAGTGGGATTCACTCTGAGTCACACTATGAAAATGAAAGGAGAGATAGCTGACCGAGAGGTAGTGGTGTTGATTGACAATAGGGCAACCCAAAATTTCATTTCCACCCAGATTGTTGAGTTGATGGGGATGGAGTTAGAGGATACGAGAGGCTATGGGGTGATGATGGGCACGGGAAAGGTGGAAATGGATAAAGGAGTTTGCAGAGGGGTAGTGCTGAAGATTCAGGGGATCCAGGTGAGGGAGGACTTCCTTCCCTTGGAATTGGAGAGTACTAACGTCATCCTAGGGATGAAGTGGCTACAAACATTGGGGGAGACCAAGATTAATTGGGGGACACTAAGGATGGAACTGGTGATGGGAGAAGGAGGACGATTCAGGGTGATGCTGGCCTGACCAAGGCTGGGGTATCTCTCAAGTCCATGATCAAATCCATACAGGAGGTGGGAGGTGGATATCTGGTGGAGCTACAGCGCTTGGAAAGGGTGAGTGTGAGGGGTGAGGGAGACATTCCACTAGTGGTGCAACCGCTCATACAACAGTTCAGGAAGGTGTTCCAACCACCTCAGGGCTTACCACCACCCAGAGAGCAGGAGCATGCAATCCTTCTGAAGGACGGGGTGTCACCAATTAATGTTCAACCATACCGATACCCTCATATTCAAAAAGATGAAATTTAGAATCTGATCAGGGAGATGTTGGCGACAGGAATAGTCAGACCCAACGTGAGTCCTTTCTCTAGCCCCGTCCTACTAGTCAAGAAGAAGGATGGGAGTTGGAGGTTTTGCGTGGATTACAGGGCTTTGAACAAGGAGACAATACTAGATAAGTTCCCTATTTCGGTGATTGACGAGTTGCAAGATGAGTTGCACGGAGCAATAGTGTTTTCTAAGATGGACCTGAAGTCAGGCTACCACCAAATCAGAATGAAAGATGAGGATATTCAGAAGACGGCTTTCAGGACGCATGAGGGGCATTACGAGTTCCTGGTGATGCCTTTCGGGCTCACTAACGCCCCTGCTACCTTTCAGTCTTTGATGAACAGAGTGTTCAAGTAGCATCTCAGGAAGTTTGTGCTATTTTTTTAATGACATTTTGGTGTACAACCAAACTGAGGAGGAGCAGTTACAGTACCTGAAGGAAGTTCTGAAGATCCTACAGGAGCATCAGCTGAAAGCTAATTTAAAGAAGTGCCGTTTTGCCCAGTTGTGGTGGAATATTTGGGACACATGATGTCTCAAGAGGGAGTGGCAGCCGACCAGTCCATGATTGAGGCCATGCAGAACTGGCCAAGGCCTAAGAATATAAGGGAGTTGAGAGGTTTCCTAGGTCTGACTGGTTATTATAGGAGGTTTGGGAAGGGGTACAGTTAAATCGCGTGGCCTTTGACTGAGCAACTAAAGAAGGACAATTTCTTGTGGGGAGAGGCGACAAACCAGGCTTTTGAGAGGTTAAAGAAAGCCATGACGACGGTGCCAGTGTTAGCTCTTCCAGATTTCAGCCAGAACTTTATAGTGGAGACTGATGCATCAGGGTATGGCTTGGGCCTTGGGAGCAGTTTTGATGCAGGATCACAAGCCTGTAGCCTATTTCAGTCAGGTGCTATCGACCAGGGCTCGATTGAAGTCAATATATAAGAGAGAGTTGAAGGCCATCGTCCAAGACATTCAGAAGTGGCGCCCTTATCTTTTGGGGAGGCACTTCATTGTTCGTACAGACCAGAGAAGTTTGAAATAATTGTTAGAACAACGGATGGTGACCGAAGAACATCAGAGGTGGCTATCAAAGCTTTTGGGCTATGATTTTCAGATCCAGTACCGACCAGGGGTGGAAAATAAGGCGGTCGACGCCTTATCCAGATGTGTTGGGGAACTTCAAGAGTTTGCAGTATCAGTACCACTGATGGTTAACTTGTGGGGGGGGGGGCATCAAAGAAGAAAGCCTGCAGAGCGAGGAGCTAAAGAAAATCAAGGAAGACTTGAGGAAGGATATTAGTAGCCATTCGGGGTACTATTTGGAGGGGGAGAAGTTGTTACATCTGGGGAGGTTCGTGATGCCACGAACATCAGCATACATTCCTTACTACAGGAATTTCACGGTAGTGCTGTTAGGAGGCATTCAGGAGTACAGAAGACATACAAAAGGCTGGCAACGGAGCTTTATTGGAAGAGGATGTATAAGGATGTGGAAGAGATGGTAGCAAGGTGTGAGGTATGTCAGAGAAATAAATATATGGCGATGGCTCCAGGAGAGCTACTTCAACCATTAGCACTTCCAAACAAAGTGTGGGAGGAAGTATCTATGGACTTCATTGACGGCCTCCCTCGCTCAGAAGGATTCACAGGCAGTGGTGGACCGACTTAGCAAGTATGCTCATTTTATTCTCTTATGACATTCGTACAACGCCGTATCAGTAGCGGCAACATTTATCAGGGAAGTAGTGAGATTGCATGGGGTTCTTGAGTCGATTGTGTCTGACAGGGACAAGGTGTTCCTTAGCCAGTTTTAGAAGGAGCTTTTCAGAATGCAGGGCACGATTCTCAAGAGAAGTACTGCCTATCATCCATAGACTGACGGACAAATGAAGGTGGTAAACCGGAGCTTGGAAACATATTTGAGGTGTTTTGCATCTGAAACACCGCGGAAGTGGGCGAAGTGGCTTGGGCCGAGTATTAGTATAATACCTCGTACCATTCTGCTTTTCAAATGACGCCTTTCAAGTTGATGTATGGCAGAGACCCCCCACACCTAGTGCACTATGGGAAGGGAAGCACACCAGTGTCATCTGTGGAGCAGTATTTGGAGGAAAGGGATAAGGTGCTAGAAGAGTTGAAGAAACATCTGCAGAGGACAGAACAAATTATGAAGAGACAGGCGGATTCACATAGGAGGGACATGCAGTTTGAAGTGGGGGAGAAGGTGTTCTTGAAGCTAAGGCCCTACAGACATAAATCAGTGGCTAATAGGCGGAATGAGAAACTGGCGCCGAGGTATTTCGGTCCCTATGAGATCTTGGGGAAGATTGGCGTTGTGGCCTATCGTCTAAAGTTACCCGCCTCCGCTACCATACACCCGGTGTTCCATGTGTCACAGCTGAGGAGAGCGCAAGGAGAGCATGCAGTTAGTGCAGAGTTACCAGCATCAATGACGGAGGAGTTGGAAGTGATTTTAGAACCCCTGGAGCTTATAGAAGTAAGATCTGATAAAGAGGGCAATAAGGAAGTACTGATTCGATGGAAGGATCTGCCTGATTTTGATGCTACTTGAGAACCATTTGACAGAGTGAAAAAGCATTTTTCTTATTTTCACCTTGAGGACAAGGTGAGTTTTTGGGAGGGGAGGAGGGGAGTAATGTTACGCCTGCTGCTCTCACGCCGGCCCAGGAGAGGCCGACTAGACCGGTACAGGTATTTGTTCGGCGGAAGAAACAGTGAGTGGGGGGCGGTAATCCTGTGGACCCCATGATGAATTTAATACAATTTTTTGAGGGGAAGATTTGAATGTAGGGTTGATTAGGTAAGTTGTAATTCTCCTTTCATATTAATTAGGGGAATAGGAGGGAATTAGAATTATCTTAAATTTGATTGCAATTTGAGATCTAGGGTTCTTTTGCTTTGGGCTCTTGGCGTTGCCGGAGATTTGGAGAGTTGTTCTTCCTCTCGGATTGAAGAAAGATTGTATCTTTGCTATTTCATTTCATCGTCTAGTGGAATACAAGTCTTGCATTGAGTTTTTCTCTCATATTTTCCTAGATTGTGCTGATTTCCTGTTGTAAACAGCAGATTTTTGCTCTTTTCCTGCTGCAAACAGCTGTTTCTCTGTTGTTGGCTTATCGATTTGGGTTAGGATTGCTTGTGAACTCAAGTATTACCTTAGGGTTGCTTGCGAACTCAAGTATTTCCCATCAACCCACCATTCAACATTTTTTTTTGCTTTTGGATGGAAACCCAAACCCTTGGTCCAACTCCCTATGGTGTCGCCCGGTTATTGTCTTAGATGTGTCAAACTGTCTAGTCCTAGCTCTTTGTTCAATTACTTGCAGCTTTTCTTTCCAAAATCTACATTATATTGTCAGTATTTGATGCAATATGTACATAGGGATCAACATTAAGTCCTAATGAACATTATAGAAATGGATTAACAAAACAACCTTTATTCATGTAATAAATTTCAATGATGTGTCACTATAGTATCCCTTGTATTGTTTGGTGATGTCTAACAAAAGCCCTTTAAAGTGTTAAGATTGAAGCCCGGGCATATGATGACTATAAATGTTCATCATTCCACCACAATGTATGCGCTCATTCAATTATTTTTTCTAGAACTAGTTCAGAGATTTATTGAATTTCATGTATAGATTGCTAATGATATGAGTGATCTGCGATAATGAGTAGGCTCCCAGCTAAATCTTCTACACCAAAATCCAATCAACTAAATCAACCCAAACTTGAAAAAAGAAAAAATTACATGACAACTATCTTCATCAATACTTAATTTACATTTGGGTTGACTCGAGTTGCTTCATTCTATCATAAAACAGATCCAAGTTTAAATTCTTCAAAATGCACATAAATAAAGCCTGTAAAGGAAGGATTTTTACACATAAACAGCATATGTTTTTTAAAGAAAAATAATCAAATGGAAATCATTCATTTCTATTTTGAATTAAGCACAAAAGATAACATTTTATCCAACATGTTTAAAATCCAAATACAAAACTTACAATATCCAAAGCCATATGTGCTCGCCTTCTCCAATCAAGCTTGGCTGCATTTCTTTGAAGTAATCGAAATAAACTCCCACTACCAAAGATAAAAAAACATCAAATTAATAACAAATTTGCAATTAAATATTTTCTATTAATAATATGCATGAAAAATAGCATATCTGGAAGTGATGGAAAATTCCAATTATTCGTTACTAATTTAGGACTTGAGTGTAAACATTTCATCAGAGAAAGAAGATAAAAAATCTTCATTCTTAGTTGAATGTAAATATAAAATAGTTGTTTCAGATGACGATCCTTGTGTAACTGAATTAATGTACTGAATCCTTTTCAATGATTATCATCAAATGAAAATTAAAAACAAAACAAAAAAATACTAAGATGACTATCATAAACTATTTTCCTCTATTTTTATTTATGATAACAAAGATATCACAATTTTATGACCTTAACTACAACAAGCAAATACAATTGATGCCAAATTGAGGAGGAATTCGGAGAGAAGAAAGAAGAGGATGATTCCACAAGACCAAAGATCAGCCTTTGCATCATTATGGCCTTCTTACAAATGGTCTTTAGCGTGACGATGGCTGAAATACTTCAAGTGGTGCAGAGCAGGCCGTTAGAGCATACACATGGTCAACAAAGGCAAAGAGCATGAGGTCCGCAACCTTATGGACACTAGCATCATCAAGGAAGAGATTCTTCATCTTGAGGGTTGGTCTTCAAGCAAAATTAAGTAATACTTAAATAAATTTGCATGATGCTAAAGCAATTAGATAATTAAGTTTAGTTAGGATGGAGTAATGCTAGATTTGGTTAGAATGGGATAATTATTCTAACAAGTTGGTTTCTAGTTCAAGAAAATAAATTGAACTCGAATGGAATTGTGCTTGCTTCAAATGATTGAGCTGAACTTAAATGATTTGAGCTGGTCTTGAATGAACTGAGGCAAGCCCGGGCGCAACTAGCCACCCCAAATAGAAACTGATCAAGCTCAAGCCAACACATTGTGAAACAGAGTGGATTCAATGGGAATTCGAGCAGATGGGGCCAACGCACTTCTGAAGGTCAACAAGCACAACTAAAAAGATACTAATATTGTGCATGTAACCATTCTAAATGATGAAATTGCATTTGCAATAGATGTTGGATATCAAAAGCATCTTTTACACTGGCATGAGAAACACGCTTGCAATGATTCATGAATTACTTTGTAAGACACACAACATTATGGACTAATTTGAAAGTCCATATTCATTGAAAATGCAAATCTTATATGATGATATTATTTTAGTTGTCGGTAATCATCTTTTTATCAATTTCTATCTTATTTCAATGTAAACATGCCTTTGATGTTATTGTGTATGAGAACAAGATGTGTAATCTAATATTTTAATTACATTGAAAGTTTTATTTGCTATTACAGGCTGTTTCAATTCAAGTTTCATAACATATAATTTAATTTCCAATACTTGTTTATCTCTTATGGTTGCCATAGAGCATGCGTCATCTTTATATTACTAGATAGATTGCATGGAACCACTAGTCGTCCTCTAAATGATAACTTAGACAACAAAGTTGGAAATTTCCTTCCATGATAACTTCATTTGCTTAAGCCATAGAGTTGTCTTATGCAATTTTTTCCTCTTTGGCTATCCTTCCTATGGCATTCTTTATTCCCTTCCTATTATGATAATGAAATATGCTACAATAACAAAAATCCAGGATGGATGGCTGGTGACCTAGGCATGAAAAGAAAGATTAGATTATGCAACTTTGAAGTTGTTTTATTGAAACATATAGATTTAGGCCAAATCTTGAAGGATTCTAAGAAATTACTACTTTTGTGTCTTTTGGATTACAAATAAATTTCTTGTGAGACATGCAATTTTCAATGAATGATCGAATAATACTTCTGTTTTCTCACAATACTTGTGTTGTTGCACATGGATTATTTGAGCATTTTTCATGTCTTGGTTATAATTTCTGGGATATGCTTTCATTATACCAATGCCAGGCATGAATCTTCAAATTTATGGCATTTATCTTTTGTCCTTCAACTTTTTATCTAAATTTGTGATTTGTTCATGTGCGTAATTGAGATGTTGCCAAGTTTGTTACGTGTCAATTTTCTTTTCCTAGTGTAAATCTTAATCACCACGGAATATTATATTTATTCCAAAATTTCTTGTAAAATTTTAAATTTTAGCAACTTTTATATCATCATTAGGAATTAAATAGCTGTATTATATTGGTTTTATATCATAAGAGACTAATATTGCCAAAAACAAGCGTTAGGAAGCTATAAACTATTATCTTTTGTATGTTTCTTTAAGCATGTCATCTTAGGTTTGCATTACTAACCTATTGAACCTAAAACATTCAACATTACCTTTAACATACACATTATAATCCAAAGAAGTCAACTATTTATGGATTTTGCTCTCTTCAAACAATAAGCATGAAACATTTAAATTTTAAAGAATGAAACTTCTTCCGAGCCAATTCCTTTGGTGATTGATGCCGTGTCATCGGGCTTGGCAACCTCTCCTGAGATGATGCTCCTTGGCTAGCTACACCTCGTATGTCTAGAGCTAAGGTGGTGGTCAATAAATGATTAAATTGGAAGATTCACTCCCTCCTTTTTTTAACTATGTTGGTGCAAAACAAAGACAATGAGAAACACTAAAGATAACCTATATACACATGAAAACTCATACTCTAAGAACCTTAATCCGAGTCTTTTTCATGCTACCAACTAGAGCATCATGAAAAGCCTTTTTTTGTTTTTTCCTAGATGATCATAATTGTTGCATCTCATTGTGCCTAATTGTTAAGAATCATCTTTCCCAACTACTAATTCTCCTCTGATCTGCTCGTAAGTGGCCTAATAGAACATCTCCTAAAACCAAGAGCTGTGATTTTTTTTCGCTATTCATGTGCCAAGCTTCTTAATGTAGCATATCATATATATTGCACGTAATATCCCGAATTGAACGCATCGAAGGAGTTTGTTTCATCGCCTAGGTCGTGAAGGGACCATGGCCAGAACATGATAAGTTGCGAAATGGAGAGGCAAGGAGTTCATTTCAAGAAGACGAAGGACCAACCGTTGACAAAGATCGGTACTGTTGGGTCCATTACGAGATGCCGAATCAATTACCCGGTGTCAACGAAAAGCATGCATCGATTGCTTCGTCTGGAGTTTTGAAGGAAACTTTCGTCGCATGGACTTAAGGAAGACAAAAGGTGAGATCGCACCTTTAAATCATGAGAGACAGAAAATAGAGAGATCAAGAGAGAAAGAGAAGGAGATTGAAGTGAAATGGATGAACCCAAATGCGAGAGAAGATGGGGAGAAGAATTGTGTGACCTACGACTTGTGGCAGCAAGGGAGAAAGCATGAGCAGGCAACAAGCGCTTATAGGTGAGCTATCAAGTGGGCAACTGCATGTGTCAGCGGCTAGGGCGCAGATAAGAAATTTTGTTTTATTTTTTTAATATTTTTAAATGATAAAGTTTATGTATAAATGTAAATTAGGATAAAAAAGATTAGTGAATTTAATTAAATATTTTTAAATTGGACATATATAGAGCTTCACTTAAATTAATGATTACTTAAAATTCTAAATTTTGTAATTTATGGGAGGAATTTAAGCTAATATAATAAAGAAATTACATATATATATATATATATATAAAGAGATTGAAAAATTTACATAAATTGATAGGCATTTTTTTTTATTTGTAAGGAAATAAATTTTAGAAATAATTTAAATATTTAAATAGAAAATTTTGAATTAATGAAAATTTTATAAAATAGAGAGTGAGAGTGAGTTAGGCATGCACAATAGCCTAATATTATGAAACTAGTTTATAGATTTATAATTAAGATAACAAATATATCTTATTCAAGTGATTACATGTATCAAACTATTGGAGACTGAGTAAGGACTAAATGAGCAAAAGCTAGCTGCTTGAATTTGGGTAAAAACTCATGTTTTTTAATTTATAGTAATGATTTAATTTTATTTTTTTTAATTGCAAAGAAGTATATTAACACATACTTGTTTAGTTATTGTTGTAAGGTAACCCAAGATTTATCTTTGTCATATTTTCAATAATTGATCATCTTAGAATAAACGATAATTAGTATGTTATGTTTCACATTACTATATAAAGTGAATGAATGATATATGAATAAAATGACTAGATAAAAATACTTGAATGTGCATGTTGATAAATGTAGTACACCCTCTTATAGTTCTGACTAGGGACTCGATGTACTGACAGTCATGAAATGAAAAAGGTTATGAAAAAAAATGGAAATGAAAATACCTTTAGTATTATTTAGACGGTGTTTCCTATGACGGCAATATTAGTTATAGAAAATATTCTGCAGGATATGAGTATTACATATATGCATAAAGATATGATTGATGGTCATTTAAAATTTTAAATATTATTAAATGAAGTTACATTATATTTTAAAGCAAACATGAATCTTTTTCAAATGTCTTGTATTACTATAATTTAGAAGCATGACGTGCTCACTGATTTGTTTTATGATTTACACTTATATTTATAAATATACACAAGTATCATCTGAATAATTTAAATGACTGGAAGATGAGAGAACGTGTATCCGAGGAGCGACATTCTAAGAGAAATATTTATAGTATTTTATTTATAAAAAATGCATTTGAGATTTTAGTGGCTCTTTCAGTCTATTGGAAATAGTTTATAATAGTAATCTTAGCGAGCAAAATTTTTAATTAACCGTCCGAGTGTTTATTCCGCCTCCTTAATTTGGGCATTCAGGTTGGGTCGTGACATTGTATACATAAGCACTTAATTAGGCTTCCTTATTGAAGTATGCATTACAATGTTTATTTGGTCATCCCAACTATGTCCTATAAAAAACAAGGCATGTTTGCAAGGGAAACCACTTTTGTTCTAATACATTCCATTCACAACCTTGCCTCTCACCTGATAGTTAAACAACAAAAGTATGATCCTTGTCAATAACTTGATACTTTGTATCACTTTTAAGCAAAACTCTCATGCACATTGCATCCCTTTCATTTTTCTTCAACCTCAACCTTTTTTTTTTACTTCAACCTCAACCATGCTGAAGGAGTTAAAGGCACTTGCCACTTCAAAGCTTTCTTCTCATATGATTAGAACTCCCTATTAACTTCAACTTCAAATTCCCTACTACTAAGGTTATACTACAGTTTTCCCTGTCATGCTTGATCCAGCTATTGAAACATTCAATCAAATTATTTGTTACTTGATCTGCCCTAGTCCTAATATCAAAGCAGTGTCAAGCCTATAGCTCCTTTCTCCTACTCATGCATCAACTAATCATGTGTTTCCTTATTCTTTGATTTAATAAAATGCATGCCCTTGTTTGATATGCAAGTCGTATATATAATTTGGCAGCATTTCATAATGCTTTCTAAATTCAGTTCCAAAAAATGCCTTCAAAAATTGCTGAAGATGTGTCTACAACAATGTCTTTGCTTTACTGATGTAGACAAAGGGGGGGTCAACCCTAGTCCAAAATAAATCATATTTTGGCTTCCCTTGAGTCTATTAGTTTTTCATATTTGAGCTAAACTTTTAGTTCATTTATGAGCTGAACTTTAGTTCATTTATTGAACTAAGGGTTAGCTCATTATGAGCTAACATTTTAGTTCATTTATTATCTTTTAATTAATATAGTTTTATGCTTTTTATGCTTGTTTAATGTTTGTCTCTTGGAATTCCAAACCGGCCTTTAACAACTCAACAACTACCTCTTTTAGGTCCTGGCTACATTGAAAGAAATGCTACTTACTAGCTACTTAAATGTAAACCAACCTATTCGTTAACATTTTATTTATCGTCGATAATTGTGAGTTGGTTGGTTGAACCCTAAAACCTAAGTATCCATGAGGGCTTGTAAAAACCAACTCTATTTGTATACATTCACAAGCCCAATCACAGCTAATGCAACTAGATGAGACAACCATTTCCATCCAGTCCCAAAGAAGAATGAAACACCAATAAACTACCAGGAATGCTTCCCCAAAGAAAAATGAAAATGCAAAATTAAGAAAAAGAACCCAAAATATTAAATAAAAAAATCAATGCATTCAATTACAAAACCAAATCATCAAAAAGATTTTTTTTTTAAAAAAAAAAAAAACATCATAACCAAGTAAACTTAACAAAAATCCAAGCTAGGAAAACTCATAAGGTAAAGAATCACGGGAGTATCTATAGAATCAATATTTGTAACATCAATTATTGATCACTTCTCGAGATTAACTCTCCAATTTAGAGGAACTTGTGAGGATGACCTCCAAGGAAGATGAAGCACAGATGCAGATAGAGGATTGTCATGCTGGAAGCATTACGTTGGCCATAAGAGGGCCCAGAAGATAAGCTTACGACTTAAGGTTATTTTAGACAACAAAAGAATGTTTTGAGAATAATCACAAAAATAACCTAAATACAACACAATTCAACCTCAGAGACCTCAATGTACTGTTTTTAAGAAAGTGCACCAAAGTGAAGTAGCATCTTAGGGAACTGCGTGTAGTTTACCTAAAAAAGAAATGAGTTGCTAAGTGTATACACTATGTTCGTTGTCCATAAATAATAAAATTATAAAGAAAAATAATTCTGACAGAGACGTTTAAACCAACAATTCTAAATACAAAGTCTTAAATAGCAAGATAATACAACTGAATAGCTTGAATGATAAAAATGAAACCTGTCCCACACTATAGTTACAAACAAACTTTATATAAGTACAAGTCCTTACAAACAGTCTATAAGAACCACATCATGGAATAGATTATGTACAGCAGATATCACAAAGTTTACTAATGGGAAATAAATATGCTTCGCACATGATAAATAGCTATGATGCTATTCCACGAGATTTGTTGTGATTGTCAGTCATATAAATGTTCTTTAGAGTAACCATCAAATATAATCAATATGAATTTTAAAAAAATTCAAAGAGTGCACCAAAATCATGTAAGATTAGAGTTTCATTATAGCATTCTTATAACTACCGTACATCTCTATATGTAGGGCTAAGAGCACAAAATTAAAGAAATTAATAAAATATCATATTACCATTAAACCAAACACAACTTTTATAAAGGTAAATTTATTTTTAGTTTGTTATAACAAACCGTGGAAGAAACTCGGTAACAATACAAAGACGTTCTGGGGACAAAACTGCACCCATAAACAGAAGTATATTGGGATGCCGTAGTTTCTTCATAAGTGATACCTACACAATAAAAAAAGAACTATAATCAATTTACAAAAGAAATGTAGGTGCCCTCTGCATAATATTCATGCTACTATAAACGGATCATAAATAGAAACTAAAAAAAAAAAAAGCAATTTAAGGTCTTTCAATCAAGTCATTTCATTGAAAGAGTGCCCTATGAAGCTGATCTCATTTTCTAAAAAAAATAAGCCAAAAAGACTAATAGTCAGTGAAAATTTAAAAAAAAATGATGCCAAATGATTGGGAAAGTATTTTTGGTACCAATAGTTAATAAAGATATCGAGATTGTCTTAACTATAGAGAAATAATCCTATGAGTTATACAATGAAATTATGAAATTATAAGAAACAGTACTAAAAAGTAGACTGACAAATTCCGTCAATTAAAAATAATAATTTGGTTTCATACCAGAAAGATATGTTATAAAAGCAGTTTTTTGTATTTGGACAATTAATCTGGAAATATAGAAACAGAGAAAGGATATTCATTTGATCTTTTTGGACCATAATCAAGAATTATGATAATTGATTTGGTGCACATTAAGAAAACAAGATGTGCTAAGGTATGTTGAAGTTATTAAAGATGTGTATGATGGAATGTTGACTAGCATTAGTATTTATTCAGTAACCAAAGAATTTTCAATTGCAGTAGGTTTATGATGGACAGGAGCCTGGACCCGTGCGGGTCTATAGGCGGAAGAAAAGGGGAGGGGGCGGGCTGGCTGGACCAAAGGGACCCACCACTTAAGTGGGGGTATTTTGGGGATGGGAGGGATTTTTCAAAGAGTATGAAGGGAGCCATTAGGGTTTAGTTTTAGGGGAGTATGAAAAGTGTATTCTCTTTCTAGTTTTTCTTCCTCTAGTCTTTTTCTTGTGCTTTTCTAGGGTTTTCTTGTGGGAGATCTTGTCCTTCTCGAAGTGGACAAACTTATCTTGTTTTCTCTTGGCTTTCTAATGCAAAGGTTCTTACTTTTCATCTCAACCCTCTTGTGAGTGTTTCTCATTTGGTTTTGGTGGAGAAATTTCTCCTTTTGGAGGAGAAATTAGGGCAAACCCTAATTTGTGAAACCTAAGGCGTATCAGTTTACTTACTATAAAGTGTTAGATCCATATCTTCTTTTACTAGCTAGGACAATGATTAAAAGAATATTCAAAGTGAGAAGCTTTGGTGTCTGCTATTTACAAATGACATAGATCTATGAGGTGACATATACACTAAAATAAGTGTAAAGCTAGAGTAATGGCGAAATTATTTAGAAGATAAATCACTTTGAAATATGAGAATAAACATTGAGCATATTATAGGTAATTTTGGCGTGCATGATATTAACAATTATCAATTAATGTGTAAGCCTCATAAAGTGATGCAAAAACTTACCACTTTACCATGTCATAAGTGTGAGCAGTTCTTTGCACTTTAATAAAAATAATATATAACAAACAACGCAAACCTTGTTATAATGAAAGCAAACGAAAAAGTCACATTAGATCAAATACTAATGATAGTCATTTCACTTAAATGTTGCTTCATCAGTCCAAAAACCAGACGCATCAAGCAAGCAAAGGCAAACTCTAAAAAACTTCTCTTTACCAAGCAATGCAATAGTGAAGGTAAGCACCATTGTATGGTCACATGCAAGCAACTATTATATTTCAAGCAATGAGCTAAATTGCCCTTCATTTTTATTCTTCGTACCCTAAAAGTAGAGTACGACTATCATAATATATAAATATCTACAACCGAAATCAATAAAACAAATATATATATATATATATATAAACTGATTATCTCATTATTTGCATCAAAAAGTACCAACAGCTCTATTCTACTCAAACATCTTCTATAGGTTTCTATTTTTCATATATGCTAAGTCATTTTAAGAGAAAATGACCAAAATGGTCCAGCAATTCTTTGTGAGAGACCAAAATGATCCCAAACTCTTTTGAGGGACCAATTTGATCCCTTAACTCTTTAAAGTTGAACATTTTTTATCCTAACATCCAATGTTGAAGTTAATGGTGTTAAATATAAATTTTAGTTATTTTTAATTTAAATATTTATCAAATATATTTTTCAAGCAAATCTAATTTTTTCTAACAATTTTTTAAAATATTTAAAAAAAAAATATTAATAATTTTTATTTTTATTTTTATTTTTATTTCAAAAAATTTTAGACATATTTTATAAAATATGATCAGAAAAAATGTGTGTGACTAAGTTGAAAATAATATCTATTTGCATTTTATTTCTCTAAATCAATACAACAATAAGCCTTTATCCTACTATATGGGGTCGACTACATGAATCATTTTTATTCATTGTGTTGTGTCCTGTTAAGAGTCAAAATCTCATCTAAATCTAATAAAGAAATATCGTTTCCAATATTTTCTAACCAAGCCTTTTGAAATTTTTTAATAAATTCATTTCTCTAAATCAATAAATATCATATTTTATAAAATATGACTACAATTTTTAAAATTAAAGCAAAATTATTATCATTTTTTTAATTAAAAAAATTATTTTTGTTCTTTTTTTTTTTTGAAAATTTATAATTACTTTAAAATTATATTTATAAATATTTAATTAAAAAGGACCAAAATACTCTCATATTTAACAACATTAACTCCAACATTGAATGTTAGGACAAAAAAAATCCTATTTTAAAGAGTTGAGGATCAAATTGGTTCCTCAAAAAAGTTGGGAACTATTTTGATCCCTTACAAATAATTAAGGAATCATTTTAATCCTTTTCTCGTAACTTTAATACTCGCCTCTTCATTCTTCATTGCAAAGGGTGGCAAATCACAAGTTTTTATCACACCCAATACTGATGTAGGATGCATTTTGGGCTAATTTACTATTTAGTGATTTTAGATTCATGCATTTAGGATGTATTATGTTGTAATTAAGAGTTTATGTATGTGTGTATGGTAAAGTGTTTTAGTGATGTTTTAATGTATTTAAGCTTTTATATGCTTCATGGGCCAGCCCAAGTCACGGGCATGTTTTAAATTTTGTATATTATCAAATTATATTGTATTTTGGGCACATATGTTGGTTCATTGTTAATGGGCTTGGTGGAAGGTACGAAAATGATAGGACGATTGACTATTTATTTAACGTTTTTTGGTCTTTCCTTATTCCTATAAATAAGGAGTTTCTTATAATAACAAGCTCTTGATTTTTGGATTATGAAATAAATGAAAATAAAATTTTAATACATTTTCTCTTTTGCTTTCTTCCATCCAAGTAAAGGATCTTGAATGCAAGTGGCGTGACCCATGGAGATGGAGTTCCAAATTAGTAAGATTGTAGTCATAATAAAAGACTGTTCCTGAAAATAAATTTCATTATCATCAGTTTACATTACCAAGTTTAATTTCAATAGTAGGAATTTTATTTTCATTGTGATTGTAAGATTAGAGAGAGTTGTCTTAGATGGTTTGGTCACATAAAACGGCATCCTTCCAATGACCCGGTTAGGAAAGTAGAGGTATTAGATTTGACTTATGTTAAGAAAGGTTGAGGCAAACCTAAAAATACTTGGTTAGAAAATATTAGGAATGACCTTTATTTATTAGATTTAAACGAGAATTTGACTTTTAATAGGAGCCGAAGAAGCCGCTGGAAGGGAGAAAGTTACCGTCCCAGCTGGTTCTTGCGTCCGATCAAAATGTCGTAACGTTCGGTCCGGCAGGAAAGGGAACGTCGTCGGAGGGGACAGAGGAGCGCACGAAAAGGGAGAATGTTACCTTCACAGATGCGAGCTCCCCGTTGCTGCCTCCGATCAAATGTCGTAACTCTCGATCTCTCAGGAAAATCGAGGAAGGAGCGAAGTCGAACCACAGCAAAAGCATTGAAGAAGTGGCTTCGGTATCCTTTTAACGCTAAGAGAGATCGTGGAAGGGGAGAGGTGACAACGTGTAGGATGCGACATTCGAACGTGTGCGAGATGGCGATGACGTGCGGTCGGACAGGTATGAGATTTTTGCGATTTTTTTTTTTGTTTTGTTGATTACGGGTCAACACTCCATCAAACCTATGATCTCGTGTTAATTAAACTAGTAGCTACTCATAACACGGTGACTTTAACATGAACAAATGATGATCCACTTAAAAAACTCAAAAAATCATTACAACTAGACCTATCAGTACTTATTTCCTAAAATAAGTTTCTATCATGATTTTTTGTTTGCCCATTTTTTAATTAATCATTTGTTTCTATATGCCGTGGAATTTTTAAGTTTATGTAAGTAGTTGTAACAAGCAAGGAGTATAAAGGTAAAGTTCGTTTCCATGTACACTAAGTCAGACTTGTACTTAAAGGGCCAAAATCTAATTAATTAGCCTTATTGGTTGGGGCGTAAGTAAGCCTCTTATGCCACCAATGAGATTTATGTTAACTATATTATACTATTCCTACCATATATTGTTATCTACAATAACAGAGGTGCTTAGTACATGGACTGCCATTAATATGAGATTTTAGAGGTTAATGAATGCAGTACTATCGTTACATGGCAGAAAGGTTGATTATATTATTTGAGGTGTCACCGTCATGTCATGATGAAGGCAGCAACCTAACCATTGTTAAAATTTTATATTCTTTTCAGTAAAAAATACTTTTTTTTTCAACTCACTACTGAAAAAAAAAAATCACATCATGTTTTGTGAAAACTAAAATCACATATATTACATACTTAGGATGAGTTTTCTTGTCCAAGACAATTTTTGGTCCAATTAATGTATTTTTTTTATATTGCATACGTTCAATCACACAATCAAGTTCTACACGTGATTTTAGCACTTTTTTTTTTTTTGCACAACTAACAATATTTTCCTTTTTTTCGTTTATATTCCCTTAACATTAGCTCTCTTCTCTATCTTATGTGCGCATTCTTGCCCTTATTATACGCCAGAGAGTCTAACGCAAGTAAAAGGAGCAATGATGATTGGCAATAGGGATTAAAATATCAGCGTTTTTTTATCTTGTATTCTATTTATATCCCTTTTCAGAAGATTTCCCTCCACTTTTGACTTGTCTATTAAACAATCTATAAGAGTTCACCTGAGGTTCAGTGCTTCAAAAGTAAAAAAGTCACCCAAGCATGCATGTGCAAGGTTATAGCTGGTTGAATTTAGGGGAATTATGAAATTAAGACGTACATTACAAAAAAATTACCACCAATATAAAGTTGTGAAAGGTTAGGCAATCAAAACAGAAACTCGACAGAAGAATAATCCTGCTATATTTAACTTCCCTGTTGCAATATCTAAGCTGTATGAAAATTTGTCAATTGTAAGAATTTGTTAAAAAAAATCATTCTCACAATAAGTCAATTTTATATGTTAAAGAATTCATAAAAAAAAATACTTTTAGGACTTTGAATTCCTCACTTCTGAAAAGGGGTGGTTACAACCAACAAGTCTAACCTTTGTGCTCAACACATAACAGAATAGTTTGGAAAATGGAAAGGCTGCTTGGAGTTACCTCTTGTCTGAATGAAAATATCAATTCATCTGAATATTCTTGTTTTGAAAATACCTTCACTGCAACATCCTGAAAGGAAAACAGAAATATTTTGATCAATTGCGCAGCACTTGCACCAATCCAACCAAAATCTCATAGTAATAGAAAAATAACCTCAGCTTAAATAATACATTTTCACACCTCTGCATATAATTAGATCCAACAGCTTTTCACACATCATTTTCTTTAAAGCCTTTCTAACTTTGATTTTACCAATACGATAATAAAAACAAAAATCTTTATTTTCATTTACGGGCTAAGATCACTAAGGTCAATCGTATTCTCACAATCTTTATTGAAAAGCTTATCGAAATATCTCATCCACCTTATTTGAATATCTTCTTCTAATAAAAACACTTTTTTATCTTCGTCCTTAATGCACTTCATTGAATTAAATTCTTACTTCTCTGTTTTTTTTTTTTTTTTTTTTTTTTTTTTTCATTTTTTTTTTTTTTTTTGCTGACTTATACATGCATCTTTCGCCTCTTTAGTATCTAATATGTTATGAAAATCATTAAAAACTAAATTCTTTGCATCCCATGTTACTTTCTTAGATTCTTTACGGGCCCTAACACAACATTCTTCTCATGCATCAAGAAATTTTTGACATACAAATTGATGATCATATTATATTTAAAGTTCTCCAAATCATTTATGCTTCTAGTTTTACCGATGTTAAAGAGAATTGATATTTTGTATCTTATATTCCAAGGCCATAACAGTACAATCTCAAAGGATGATAGATTTTCCTGAAAGCACATCAATCAAAATGATTCATTGGGTAGGAAAGCGAGATGAGCTTTATTTTTTATTTATAGCTTCAAGCTTAGTCCGAGTGATAATTGCTTGATCCTTCTTCATCAATCAAATATTCTGCTTTAATCAAACACAAAAGAATATGTGCTGCTTCTTTCTCTCTCTCTCATTATATATAAATATATGTTGATGTAAGAGAATTGATGTTTTTATCTTATATTCCAATGTCATTACAGTAAAATCTCAAAGGATGATAGATTTTCTTGAAAGCACGTCAAACTAAATGACTCATTAGATAGGAAGGTGAGATGATCTATATTTTTTATCTATAGCTTCCATCTAGCTAAGTCCTATGAAATGAGGGATTATTGCTTGATCCTTTGTCATCAATCAAATATTCTGCCTTAATCAAACACAAAGGAAAATGAGCTTCTCACTTGCATGTATCAAAATGATAAAAACATCTCCCAAATATTCTATTCATTGAAAATATAATACAAGAATAGTTACATCAAATTTCATGCAATTAGCTAAGGAGTATTTAGTTTAAAAATGCATAAGTCAGACTCGAACTCGAAAACATTACCTTGGTGTTGTGATGCAACAAAAAATAAAGAACAAACAAATTTTAGGATTGCAAACAAAACTTCCTTTCAATATAATATAGATAAACAAAACCTTAAAGTTCAACCACTTCAAACTTACATTAAATGGAATACTACAATAAAACAAACACAACAATGCTTCAACTTTCAATAAAACATGACACGACACAACTTACTATTAATAAAGTTTAGAAAAGAATGATACAGTTGGACATGATACAGTGGAAAGAAGAAAGAGATTAAAAACCGAGATGAATTTTAAGAAAAGAGGAGGTAGAAGAGGATAGCTCGCAAGTTATTCGAAACCCACAGGTTTCATGCTCCAAAAATTCATCTCAAATCTCTCTAAAAACAGCAGCAAACAGCCCCCCCGATAAATAAGGAAAAATGAATCCAAACAGCCCCTAAAAGGTGCCGCCCAAGCCTTCAATAGGAGCAGCCAAAATTTATGGAAAATCACCAAGAAAGATGCACGGTCAGCCCAGGAACCAAGCAGCCAGAACACCAACAGCCAACCCCCAAGCATAATTTATGGGAAATCACCAAGAAAGAGGCATGGCTAGCCAAGGAATCAAACAGACAGAACACTAACAGCCAGCCTCCAAGCAAAATTTATGGGAAATCACCAAGAAAGAGGCACGGCCAGCCAAGGAATCAAACAGCTAGAACACCAATAGCCAGCCCCCAAGCAAAATTTATGGGAAATCACCAAGAAAGAGGCACGGCCAACCAAGGAACTAAGCAGCCAGATCATCAATAGCCAAGGGAAAGTTGGGCCAAGCCCAATAAGACAAATTCAGCCCACCATTAAATGCCCAAATATCCAAAGAAAATTAGCAAACCAAAGGAACAGTTATTTGGAATTAAAAATCAGAATGGGAACACCATTAGGCAAGTTTTTCCTACAACATGTTGGCTCAAGAAAAATGGCGCGTTGGCACTAATCCCACTTTGTAGCCGTAGGACTTCAATTTCCTTAAGTCAAATTATATTTAACCAAATTTCCCCTGAGGATAGTGTCGAGGTTTAATTAGATCTGGGTTCTTACTTCCCATGAGTGCAAACACTCATAGTTAATTACTCCTCTTAACACGTAAGATAGAACTATTAATTAAGGATGAAAAAAAAAAAATTGGTGCTTAGTCTCAATTGTAAGGGAATGGAGGTCAACCTGATCAAGATTCCATGGTTCTGTTGTCCTGGGTATACCAAATGTTTCAATCTAGTAACATTAACAATAATTGACCGTAGTGTCCAGAGAATCACATTAGTAGCCATGGGTTGACTCCTCTAAGAGATCCCGAGTAAACAATGGTGGTTATATATGAGTTTTAATTTTATTGGGTTATGGGGTTTACATTCATTAGAATACCCATAAGTTAATTCGGTTTAGCGATGTAGAACTACATGAACATGTGATGCTATTAACTTTGAAATTACACGCTTATGAATGAGAAATATCAATTATTCAACTTCCTACGACATAAATAAAAGATTGAAAACAATAAAGCTGTGATTAAGCTTAGGCAATCGATTACAAGACAATGTTAGGAGCACAAAATAATCAAATCAAATCAAGCTTTGCGTAACGTGGGGTTTTCAAAGGAAATCCCTCGATTAAGAATTAGAATAATCACTATTAAGATCCCTCACACGTGCTCATATTAGAAGGCTAGGCAGATAAGCTTTCATAATTTTAATGATGCCACGATCGAGGAGTTAGAAGACAAAAGGTTCGAAGGAGAGATCACCATCATCAAGCTTCTGAACTTCGCCCCAACGTTCTTCAGGATCCGGGCAATGATCATCTGTGAGTTCGCTTTGAAGCAAACACTCCTTGTAGACGACAAGGGATTAAAGTGTTCGAAGGATTTGAATGTGACCGGCCAAGGAAGGTGGATTCACTTCTCCTTCTTAGGTGAAAACATCAAGCAAAGGAGCCTGAGTGTAGACAAGAGGGAGGAGGTTATGGCCTGCCCTAGAGCACCCTTTTAATTCCTTATTTGGGTGATGAATAAGGAAATGAAGCAAATAGAAAATTCTGAATTTTAATTTCAGCAATTATTAAAATTTTGGAATTGAATTTTTGTCTAGATGGCATGCCAATTAGGACAAGAATTAAGTGGGATTGAAGTAGGAATTAATGGCTACTTTAAGTGGAGGAGGAATTGGGGAGATTTGAATTTGAATGACCCTCAAATAAGGAAAGAGGGGAAGGGGGGCAGCAAGCCTTAATGGGGGCTGATTTGGGGAACTTAAATTGGAAGGATAATAATGGAGGAGAGAGGGAGAGGAGCAGCAATGGCTAGGGGAAGGTGGGATTAATTAGAGGGATTAAAAAGTTATCAAATTTAGGATGCTAATTGAGGAAAGGGGATTTAGGGAAAATCTCCATTCAAAATTCAAATACGTATGAATAGGGAAACTTTCCTAATATAACGCATCTTTTTTTAGAAAGAAGTTTCAAATTTTTAAGTCAATTAAAATCGGAATTTAAGACTTTCTAGATTTACTATGCACTAAGTAGGAAAAGTATTGAATACTTTCTTTGAAAATTTGGAGGCAATGGGAGGGATAGGTGGCCGGCAGCTAAGAGGTGAAGGGGATCGGTGGAGAATCGGCCAATGGGGAGGGATGATTGGCAGGTAGTTTAGGGGAGGGAGGGGTGGCGGGTTAGGGTGGTAGACGGCCTAGGGATAGGTGGTGAAGGGGCCGACGACTAGGGAAAGGATTGGACCGGCGGCTAGGAGAAAATAGCAAGACGAATTGGAGGTGGATAAAAACCACGAGCCCGGACTCTTCCTGCGACTGATGGGTAGTGTTTTGCCCTCACCAAGGGACTTCAAACTTTCACAAGAGCTCTCATGACACTCAAAGACACGTGCAAAAATTTTTCAACATAATATTCATCAGCCTCTCCAAAGAAGATGAGAGGACTATAAATAGATAAAATATAATAATAATTCTAATGACAAAAGTGCCTCATGGGGTCACATAAGCCTACTCCCTCAAGTGAGGGTAAAAACGAAAAAAGATAAATAAATCAAATACAACTAAAAGCTCAAAAATAAATTGGTCTAATCATGACCGTAGATCTTCGACCCCTTATCTAATAAACTTTCCACAGTCATACATCCTCATCATTTAGGTTTATAACTTCGGTTAGAAGTTGCCCAGATGTTTAAATTGAAGCGGGTCTTACGGCTTCTATTAGAAGTAGTCCAGTTGTGGGTCTTACAACTTGGCTCTACAGCATGGTTGCCTAAAGATTTAGATTTAATTTGAGAAAAGTTTCTCTTAAGTAACATGTCTTACAACTTCTTATAGAATATGCCTGAAATTTTAATTTGGAGCGGAACTTACAATATACTTATGAGTTGCCCACATATGGGTTTTACAATCTAGCTCTACAGCAAGGCTGCTCGAGTATTTAATTATTTGGATAGCTCTTACAACTTCCCTTTTAAAGTTGCCTAAAAGTGAGTCTTACAACCTAATCTTTTAATTTAAAATGTCCATTTGTTTGAGGATTTGATATTTCATTTCAAAAATCACGACTCTCATTAGAAGTTACCTAGTTATTTAGGTAAGACGAGTCTTATTGATTTCCTTTGGAAGTGCCCATTAGTTTTGCTGGTTTGAGTGGACAAGAGTTGGTTGAAAACTTGA